ATGGCTATGACACCAGGTACATGGTTATTGCTTGAGGATTTCCTTTCTGCCTCAGTTTCCTCCTTGAGAAGTGGTCTTCCACAGCTGGTGGGGTTCTGGTTAAATACCCCCTTCTTTTCTTTGCTGAAGAGCGTCTGTAGGGCAGCTCCTCCCTGGCAGGCAAGAGTCCCAGGCTGGGACCTTGCCCACAGTTGCAAAAGAGGATGCAGCTGTGGTAGGAGAGTCCACCCTGCCCAGGACTCAGCCCCATGCATGGCAATGAATCAATGCTACACACGCAAAGATCCCTGACCACAATGGGTGACGCAAGAGGGCAAGCAGGGCAGTGCTGGGGACCAAGAGAAGGAGCGGAGAGAGGGAGACTGCAACAGAGGGGATAAGCCCAAGTGTCACCCAGGCAGGAACAATTCCTTCCTGATCCTGAAAGAATCAGCATCCCCAAAATGTTCCCAGTAAAAAAACAGGCTTAGTGAGCTGACTGCCCCCTTCTTTCCAAAAACTTGCCCAGAAGGGCCTATTGGTGAAGGAAGGGAGAGACCGTGGTGGGACACGGTGTGAGCTGTTAAGGTACAGGAGTCAGGATCCCTCCTGGGCGTACAGCCATTGGCTTCATGTTATTCAGGACAGGTTCTTAGGGAAAAATTAGAGGCAAATGTGGCCCTTTATCTTCATCTTAGGTTCTGACAGACTTCTTGTTCGTTTAATACTTGGTGAACAGGGTGACGGGACAGTCTCAGAACCATGTTTTTCAGTCTGTGCTGGAGGTACCCAGAGCATTTGTAAGTGTAAGAGCAAAGAGAGATGGAGCAAGCGAGCAGGGCCGGAGCCAGTGTCACCACATTGGTTGAGGGCCACCATGGGCAGGAGCACATCGCTGTACCCACAGCAATGGGGAGTACCCTCAAGAGGAACAAGTCTATTTGCTGGTGAAGCTGAACGGACATAAAATTTCCCTCGGTTATATGGGTGTTTTTTCTGTATAAACTTGCTAATTGAGTTGTAAAATAAAACTGCAGCCTTTCCTCTCCAATTTCTGCTGCTGCAGCAGCGTGCTAATTTGGTTTTGGAAGGGGGCTGGTAGAAGGTGGCTCTTTGCCAGCGTGAAATTATGCACAAAAGGTTTGCACTGGGAGAGAAGGGAGCCTGTCCTCAGCGCGGGGAAGCGCTGGGGGCAGGAGCTGCTGCGCCGCTGTGCAGGGCTGGGGCAGCTTGGGAAGGTCCTGCAGCTGGGCTGGGCTGGGCTGATGGAAATTCAAGAAAGCCCAAAAGGGTTTAGACGGAGCTGCAATGGAGAACAGATGGGAAACTCTGGGCTTGTGCACCTCGATAGACGCTGTGAGGTTGAGAGGATGGGCTGCAGGATTTCACGTCTCCCCTCCGGCACAGCCAGGCAGGATTTGCTTCTTGGGTCTGTGTACCCGTGTGTGTGTGCCAGCTGGTGCGGGCATGTGTGCCTTGTGCGTGCAGACATGTTGTACGTGTCGCTTGGGGTTGTGTGGCTATGTGCGTGCCTGTGTTTGGGTCTCCATACAGATGGTGAGGACAGGGATCTGGCTCTCATCACCCAGCAGCACATGGCTCCACCATGGGTGCGGCTGTGCACGGGGACAAGGATGGTGTGGGGTGAACTGTCACGGAGGAACCTATCAGCTGTGCCGGCTTGCACCAAGCGGGGATTTGGTCCTGCTGCCCACACTGGGGGCTGAGAAGAGGACTGATCTGGGGGTGAAAAAGTTGGGGGGAAAGAAAAATCAGAGGGCACAGCCTGGCTGTCTGTTCCATCAAAGTAATTTTAATTTTTAAAAGATATATGGAAAAAATGCAGTGACAGTTCCAGTCCCTGGCAATTTGGAGAAGCCTGGGGTTCCTCACGTGTGGCAGGTACACACACCCCAACATGCAGGAGGATGTACAGACCCGGGTGGCCCAGGGCAGGGCCCACACTCACCATTTTTGTACCTTTCACTGTTTCCCATGAAAGTTGCTGCGTGAGAGGAATCCAGGCAGGATGCTCCAGAAACCACTGCAAGAAGCCCAGAGGTTTATAGATAGACTTGTCTGCCCATTTTCTAAAGCTCGGGCAGTCCTTCCCGTCACATCGTCCTTCCGTCCTTCTGCTGACCCCTTTGGTCCCTTCCCTGGGCAGCACTCGGAAGGGACCACTGCCGTACCGCGCGGCGGGGGCATCAGGACCACAGTCCGGTCTGTGGGTGGAGGAGGGATTGGGAGGTGCAGGACAGGACAGGGTTTTTCAGCCTTTCCAACTTTGGGAAGGGCCACCCTAAGCGGTTAGCCCTGCTGCTGCCTGCCCCGGTGCTGTGAGGGCACCCAGCCGGGGTCCCAGCACCCTGCCCAGGGGGGAGTGGGGCACCGGGGGGTGGAAAGTCTTGCCGGATGCTTTTTTTGAAGTGACCTGTAGCATCTGAACAGCATCATGCTGGTTTTAATAGGGGGCTGACAGAAGAAAAACAGGTAATGAAGCCTTCCTCTGCCCCTTCCTCTGCCTCCTGCCCCAGCCAGGTGAGGGCTCCCGGTGGTCACTAACTGCTGGGCGGGTGGTGCCAACGGCACCCGTGCAAGGCCCCGTGCAAACCGCGCGAAGCGTGCAAACGCCGTGCAAGCCGTGCAAACACCATGCAAAGGCTGTGCAAGCGCCGTGCGAACCGCGTGAACCGTACAAACACCACGCCAAGGTGCCATGCGAGGTGTGCGAGGTGTGCAAATGCCTTCGGGCCGGGCCATCCCGCACCGCGTGGGACGGGGATTTCTCGGGACACTGTCACGGGAGCTGCCTCTGTTGCTTTGCGCTGTGTGTACGTACTGAGCAAATCTGCTGGTTGGCATTAGAAACTCGCTCGCGATACTGTGACAAAGCACCTGTAAAATTACAGCAGAAAGAAATCCGAGAGGCTGCAGTGACAAATGCTCGTGAGAAGCGATTGTTTGGGGGGGAGAGGAAAAAAAAGCCGTGTTTGTTTTGGCAAAACACCTACATTCCTTCAAATAAATCATTGCAGCACTTGTTTTTGTATTTGCGGAGAAATCGCAACAGACATAACCAGGGACTTAAGAGACTTGAAATAACATCCTAGTAAATACCCCACTTTGTTATTTTAATCGAGACCCAAGGAAACATCTGAATTTTACCAAGGAAACCCTCCGTGCAAGGGAAAACATTAGCCCGCAGCTCGGCCGGGGCTTTGTTTTGCTCCGGTGTCGGTCTCCCGAGGCGGAATTACCGGGGCTGATGGAGGCGCGGAGCAGCGCGGAGCAGCGCGGAG